AAGTTTTTTCTTCTGTATTATTTTCAAAATACGTGGACTACTTTAGTAGGTTGCAATCATGAAGTCATAGAATGTCTACAAATGTCATAGTAAGTCATATTGAAGGAGAATATTAAAAGGTTAATAGGAGGAAGCAGGTAATTTTGAGGCTTTTTAAAGCCCTAATAAGTGATGGAGAAAGCAAAAGGGAGAAGTACCTGAATATGAGGTTTGTTAGGAGTTCAAGACCTTTGAACACACAGCCCTTTAAACAGGAAAAGTTGTTAGGTCTGTACCATTAAATGATAATTCCCCATCCCTTCCAATCCCCAGCTGCTGATAATCTCTGTCCTACTTTATGTCTTTGAATTTCTCTTGTAGGTACCTTGTATAAGTGGAATCATATCATATTCGTCCTTTTTGTGTCTGGCTTATTTCACTTAGCATAATGTCTTCAAGGTCCATTCATGTAGCATGAATCAGAATAACATACTACTTTTTAAGTTGTAATTTCAAGTTCTAGTCCAACTGCTTATTATCATATCAGGATATTTCCCACATCTTATCTTGAAACAGTTTTCCCATCACTCCATCCTTGTTGCCTCCAATTCTTTAGGCCTCAGCTTCACAGTCATTTCTTTAAAGAGACCTTCCTGGAACCAACAACTTAGGTTGACTCATACTGTTATACTTTCCCATTGTATAATTATTATTCAAAACTTTTGTTTATTTATGCAATTATTTTTTCCCTTCTTTCCCAGTCTGTGTAAGTCCAGGTATTCCACTTGCTATTATATTTCTAATGGCTAGTAAAATGTCTGGAACGTAGTGGGTTTGAAGAATGAATGCTACTTTATGCCACTGGTTCTTTAAACTTTTTTATTGACTGTTTCATAGCCTAACATATCTAAAAATAGCACAGTCAGAACACTTAGGTTCCTTAGTTCTCAGCTTTGATATCAACTTAACTGAAATTATTTAAATGCTCTAGTATCAGTGTCCTCCTGTGTAAAATGAACAAACTGAGTGCTCTTCAAGGCCACTTTCAGAGAACGGTAGGTTTACATTTTATAAATAATTCATAACAGAAAAATCTAATATATATTAGAGTCATTATCATTGCACATATGGTAACCTTTAAGATCATTTTTCAGTAATTCTATTTGTCTGATGAAAGTGAGCTAATTACATAAATATAATGAAAATACAAATGTTTAAAATCTATACTTGATTAACCATTGATCCAACTCTACCGTTTTTTTCAATAGTCTGATTCCATATAAGATGATGCATGATTGGAAGGAACTGTTTTTCAGTGGAAAGCCCATATATGAACAAGCCTCTGTTAAGACACTACCTGATAACCCCTCAAGAGAACAACTTACAGAACTGGAGAAAAGGGACTTGCTAGATACCAATGATTATGAAGAATATAAGGTACCGACCAACATGAAGTAATTCGAATGCTGTATAATAAATCCTTTTCCTTTAGCATTAATTTTGTGATATTATTTATTTCATTTCTACTAATAAAAAATAAGCATGTTTTGTTTATATTTTCCCTCATTTTAATTTGTTTATTTTTACTACTTTTTAGTTGCTTAAACTATTCATACATAAGCTATTATCTGTTGTTCTTGGTAATCTTAGGGAAGTGGTCTGAGAAAACATCAAGCCTAATAATTGAGTTGAGAGATTTCAAAATTTTTAAAATGCTTTCATTTATTTATTAGCATTTTTCTTTGTATGCCCTACTTTTGCTTCAAAAGCCATTGTTAAAAAGTGTTTCTTTTGTAATCGATCTAAATAATATATTTTTTTACAGGCAAAATGAAAGAGGAGGGGGTCTGGGTTTTATGAATAGCGTCTATTCAAACAATGTTTTATTCAAAGATTGAAATAAAAAGTATCGGGTTCTAACAGTGATTTTTAGAAGAACTATTGTAAAGCTTTTGAGACTAGACAGACTAGAGCTACATTACTGGAATTGCCAACTACTAACTGTGTGACCTTAGGTGACCAGCTCCTTAAGGGCTAATAGATTCCATTTTTCAATTTATGGAAAGGTAATTTACTATACCTACTTTTTTTAGGATAATGTGAGTTAAAAACTTAGCCAAGTCCGCTTCACGTTGGATGCATATAATACATACCCATATCTCTCCTCACCATCCTACTCTCCCTATCCCACCCCATCTCACCCTTAGAAGTAAAAATATAACAATCATAGCTTTTGTATAGAAGTTTTGAGTGAATCAACAACAGTGGAATGAGTGAGGCTTTTTATTAGAAAAATTACTGAATGAGTCCTGGAAAGTCTAAGTGCAACATGAAAAAAATCTTTGAAAAGGTGATTTGACCTAATTACTCACTGGTATTTAGTAAATACTTAACAAATGTTTGTGGAAAAAGAGTGAATAATGACTTCATTACAATAAACAAAGAAAAGTGCAAAATAACATTCATAAGTAAATACTGTAAGAGGATAACTTTGTGGTTAAAAGATAAGGAAATAGCATGAGATTATGAGAAATTAAATGTACACTATATTTTAATTAAATGAATCTGTATTTGTAGCACTAAGAGAATTATTGTTAAGGATTGACTAGAACCTTAAAAGATATATGTGGATATTTATTTTGTGTGATTGTAAAATATACTAGACCTAGTACATCAACCTAAAGTATAATGCCACGTCATAAAATGCTTTGACAGTGTCAAACTGTGTCAAGGTATTTGTTTCCATTGTAAATTAAAAGCCATTTCACAGTGGCAGACTTTACTGGTTCATCAAATGTTTATTTCTAAATTACTTCTAAAACAGCTCAGTCTCTATTTTTATTGTTCTTACACATCAGGAGACCTAGTAGGCTGCAGCTTAGCAAAGATTTTTGTCTCTCTAGCTATTTTCCTTGTATGAGAAATGGTTACCACAGAACCTGCTTGTCTTACCCACATCCTGAAGTGGATGATGCATTTATTTTGCAGGAAATTGTAAACTTTTGTTAGGAGTTTGTGAACGTCTAGCAATGCACTTTATTTTCTGTATTGACTTTGCTATTTTTCTAGAAATGAAAATTACCTTAGGATTTATACCGTGTTTTCACAAGCTCCCTTTGACACTATAATGGAAAATATGTCATATACAGTTTTAGGATATACTGTAAATATTATACTGTCATTCTTTATTTTTAAATCTTTTGTTTCTTCAAGAACCTATCCTAAATGTTCCTACACACAAGTAAAAAATAAATGTTTCAACTTGTAAAATATATTATCTGGCTTAAACAGCCTATTACAAAAGGCAGAGGGACAATGCATCCTGGCTTATCTAAAAGAAACAGTTGTCCACATTTGTTATTATTAAATTTGTTCAAGATTTTTCATGTAAATATATTACCAAGAAATTAGTACATTTGCTTGAACATAACAATGTTCATTATATATGATGTTCAATAACATTATAATGAACATTATTTCTTCAAGCAAATGTATTACTCAGAAACTAATCTTCAAAAAGTTTATATTTTTAGCTACTTAATTGATGTTCATACCATCTACCTTTAAAGAACTGACAGTTCTCAGTTTTGAGTCTGTACTTTTAAAAGTCCGTGTTCTGTTACAATAAGTTATTATGCTTAAAATGTTTAATTATTGTGCCTAGAAATTGCAATTAAAACAGATATTTGCTTATGTACATGTCATATGTAGCTGGCAAAATCTTGACTCTTATTTCTTAATGTTATTTCCTAAATCATCACACTCTATTTACAGAATGAGAATGACTGAATGTGACGAAGCTCTAGCCCAGTGGCTAGAAATAACAGTTCTTTCTCCCAGGAAAGAGGCAAGAGCAGCATCATGGAGCAGCCAGACCTTTCTGAGGTTCCTAGGCAACTACCGCAGGATAATAACAATGAGTTATTCCATAGAGAGTGAGGAAGGGCCCTTTAAGCCCAGTGGATCATGGGTAGCAGGCTAAGCCAGGAGGCTCAGTTTCTCTAGTGATGCTGGCAGCACAGCCCCACATGTTTGGTGGTTCGCAATCATGCAGTGGACTCCTGCTGGTGAACCTCAAATTCCCCCTAATGCAAATCCTTTCTGTGGGTCTTACTAGCAAATGAGCTGTAATTCACAGCATTTCACTTTTATGTAAGCTGCTTACTAGCAATTACTAGTTGAATGAGTTTAAGAGTTACTAAAATTTAGTGTTTGTAAACTAAAATTAGCTCATGGCTATGATTTCCTGAAGACTTGGATTTTTCTAAGAAGTCCCTGCCATAAAGCACTGAGCAATTTTCAGAGCTCTATCGTGAATGCCCACAACCAAGTTGTGGTTGGAATTCCTAGAATGTGGAGGAAGGATATTTCATTTCCAGCACATCATCCATGTTATCTCAAGTTGTTAATGATTTTAATTGCTACTATTTTTTTGTTTTTAATGGAAAATTACTGTTTAAATTCATCATCAGTTGAGTTTGTTTTTGTTATTGAGTTAAACCTACAGTGTGTGTTATAATGTACATTTTTAACATTATTTTCGGTTTATGATTTTTCATTAACTAGACTTTAAAATGTGTTTGTACACATGTTATGGTGTGACATGTGTACACCTGTCACTACAGCACATGTATAGGTACCCATCCCCAAATTTGTTTTACAATGACATTTATTAACACCAAGTCTTCTTCCACCAAAGAATAGAAATGTAGGAGGCTGAAGCAGGAGGATCACTTGAACCAGGGAGTTGGAGGTTGCCATGAGCCAGATCGATCATGCCACTACACTCCAGCCTGGCAACAGAGCAAGACTCAATGTCAAAAAAGAGAGAAAATGATGTGGGACTAAATGGGCTATGGGGTTCTCTGTTTTCCTGTCTCATCTGAATTGTTTGGCTCAAAGACATCCCTGGATAATTGACCCAAACATAGTGATAGATTTTTGTAGATGAGTGTTAAGAGCATGTGAATAGATCAGTTTTTTGTTTTTTGGTTTTTTTTTTTTTTGAGAGTTTCGCTCTTGTTACCCAGGCTGGAGTGCAATGGCGCATTCTCGGCTCACCACAACCACCGCCTCCTGGGTTCAGGCAATTCTCCTGCCTCAGCCTCCTGAGTAGCTGGGATTACAGACATGCGCCACCATGCCCAGCTAATTTTTTGTTTATTTTTTAGTAGAGACGGGGTTTCACCATGTTAACCAGGATGGTCTCAATCTGTTGACCTCGTGATCCACTGCCTCAGCCTCCCAAAGTGCTGGGATTACAGGTGTGAGCCACCGCGCCCGGCCTAGATCAGTTTTTTACGTTTAAAACGTATACATTGCATTGATCAGCTCAGGCTGCTATAATAATACACCATAGACTGGGTGGCTTAAAACAGTTTATTTTTCATAGTTCTGGAGACTGAGAAGTCCAAGATTAAGGTGTTAGCCAGTTTGGCTCTACAGTGAGATCTCTCTTCCTGACTCACAGAAGACTGCCGTCTTGCTGTGTTCTCACAGGACAGAGGGAGAGTGAGTGAGCTTTTGTCTCTTTTCTTCTTCTTATAAGGAATAAGGAAACTATTCTCATCATGGGAGCACCACCCTCATGACCTCATGTAAACCTAATTACCTTCCAAAGGCCTAGCCTTTAAGTACCATTACATTGGAGGTTAGGGCTTCAGCATAGGAATTTGGGGGAGACACAGACATTCAGCCCATAATATATGCATTTATTCAGGACATGTACAAAAATGTCTCAATATGGAAACTTACTAATAAAGTATAGGACCTTTTAATTTCACATGAAGTTGCTTGTTTTATGGTCTCTCTTGTTTCTTGCCAAGAAGTCTTAATTTTCTTGTCTTTTAACTATAAAGATGCTTCTATTGATGAACCTGAGCATTAATTCTATTTTAATTAGTCATTTTAATATAACTGTATATAATTTTATTGTATAGTACTGGAGGGCCCTGATAAATATGGTGATTTCAACTTTATTTTCAGATATGGAGGAATATAGCTGACCTCTAAGTGGGAAGAGTAAGCACTTGCCTATATGATGGAGGCTGAGATATTCTCTAAGGCTATTCTGTAAAAATTCCTCCTGTCGTTGTACTCGATGCCTCACATTATCATTCCTTTGAATTAAGACATCAGCACTTCCTAAAATACAACAGTTCTCAAGATAGGCAATAAGAATCCTTTTCAGCCTCCAAAATAGAAAAGAACTGGGAAGGAAGATTCATGTTGAAAGGAACATTCTCATATCATTCTAGTTTAGCTTTTAAGAATGTGCCATTTCATAGCTGCAGTTTCTTCTCTCCATTTGTTTACAGTTTTACCTATGACTCCCTAAACTCCTTCACTAATGGTAAGGCTCTCTAACTGGCTTTTTTAGAGTAAGCCTCATTGTATCTTGGTTGGGTAGGATTCTTATTTGTAGTAATTGAGCCCACTGATTCTAACTTACAGAGCAGAATATCAATGTATTAGGTTTTGAAGAGGGCTCTAGTTGCCCTAGGTCTGTGGTTGCCAAGAAACAAGACTATTTTCTAATTGTTGTAGGCCAAAGATTTCAGAGGGCTTGATAGAGGTCCAGCACTTGTGTCTAAGGAATAGCAGGAATAGAAGAGGAACTTGGGTCATGTGGAGGGTATTTGGTTTCAGATTACTAATACTAGAGACAAGATAAGTTCATTGAAAATCATGGTAGAAATAGTTGAATTAAGGTATCAAGTTCAAGAGATTAGACTGAATTGAGAAATGGTTTCCAAAACATTGGCAGCCAGATAGAAGTGGAATGGGATGTGAGGACAGGAAAGGGAGGAGTCCTGGATGACTGTCATGAATAAGATCAGAGTGTCCACCACTCATTTTTATTTGTTCTTGATCACATAGAGAGAAGCCAACCCTCTTCCAAGCTCCTTTCTCTCTGGGACCTGGGAAACAGAAGGTGGTCAGGCTTTTCTGGGCTTTCTATCACTGAGTTTTGGGTTTGTCCTCTACCTACTTTGGCAAGTACAGAAGCTAGCTTCTATGCATCAAGCCCACTTTCTCTTCAATCAATTGCTTGGAATTATCAGCTAGGATTTTAGAGCTGGCTATAAAGTTTTAAATTTTAAAGCTATAGGCTAGACACGGGGGCTCACACCTATAATCCCAGCACTTTGGGAGAGGAAGGCAGGCGGGTCTCTTGAGGTCAGGAGTTCGAGACAAGCCTTGGCCAATATGGTAAAACCTCGTCTCTACTAAAAATACAAAAATTAGCTGGACATTTTGGCGGGTGTCTATAATTCCAGTTACTTGGGAGGCTGAAACACAAGAATCCCTTGAACCTGGGAGGCGGAGGTTGCAGTGAGCCAAGATCCTGCCACTGCACTCCAACCTGGGTGACGGCAAGACACTATCTGAAAAGAAAAAAATATTTTAAAACTGTATCTTGACAGATAAATATAGGAAGAACACAATGGGGTTTACAATCTTGAAAACTTGAATGAATTCAATAAAGTGTTTACATTTTGATATGCTCAGATGTGTAGGACTGAGAACCATAAACTCTCCCCTGTCCAGTGCCCAGGACTTCTCAGCCATATTGTTTGGTGCAGTGGGCCTATAGTAGTCTTTGACACGTTGGCCAGTGTCACCTCTAAGCTTTCTGGGGGTGGCTTATACCTCTTTGAGTATCAATCTGAGCAGTGAAATAAAGGTGGTGATAGTGGTCATTATTATAGAAGAGGGTATTCTCTATGGAAAAATTCTGTGTGAATTTTGCAGTTACAAGATGACACCAGAGAAATTCCAACCAAATCTGTTTTCTGACTATCCCTGGCTAGGTAATAGCAGTAGACAGGCGAATTCAGATGTAGATCTTCTGGAAAATTTCCTTTAAATAGTAAGACCATGGAAATTACTATAAAAGTGATCCTGAGGTAGGCTACCACCTCCCTGATGAAGAGCACATAGTTTAAGTAGTTAGGGAATGACATTTACTGTTTTTTCTAAGGATAGCCACCACCACCAGAATTGTTTGGTGGCCCCCATCTGATATGAAGTCCAGGGTGATGCAGTCTCAAGGTCACTTAGCAGCAATGCAGTGACCTTAGAGTCTTCTTTTTTTATTTGTTTGTTGGTTGGTTTGACCCAGGCAATTGTGCTTTGGGAAAGCACTGGGCTGCTGTAATTATCAATGTGCCACATTCAATGCCTTGTAATGGCCATGATGGCTTTCCAGGGATGGAGAATGGAATAAGGAGTAGGAACCTATCATTTTGGGGGGGCTGAACTACTTTCCACTGATCTCCTGAGTGACTCACTTCCAGTACAGCTGGAAATCAGAGTGCTCAGCAGAAGCCCCTACCCATTGTTAGCACCTGATTGGTCACTAAATTTCAGCAGCACTGAATAGGCTTTTAAGAGAAAGGATCTCCTAGAATGGCTTAGTATCAGATATCCATGGTAATCAGACCTGCAGCCAGCCCAGTGATGCTGGCTGCCTGATATATAAGTAATTTGTAGCTCAGTGTTTTCTGAAAAATAAACCTGTCACTGCTCACTGCTGAGCTTTCTGAACTTCTGAACATATGACAAGCTAGAGTGATTGAATTGCATCATGACATACCCAGCTCTCTCCAGCGTGGGCCTTGAGGGCTTGACAGTGACCATTTTCACATGCTGAGTAACTGACCATGGCCAATGTAAATTTCCCTCTGAAAACAAGAAAAAGGTAGTATCAAAACAAGCATGTTCAATTTCAGCCTATTGCAAAAGAAGACTCAGGGCAGTAGACTGAGTCTTCAGATATGGAGGAATATAGCTGACCTCTAAGTGGGAAGACTCAGGGCAGTAGACCGAGTCTTCTTTTGCAATAGGCTAAAATCGAACATGCCTGTTTTGATACCATTAGATTAGGGCAGAGGAAGGCTACTCCTGGGACAGAAGTTATCAGATTATTGAGTGAAAGGCATTATTGAATCAGGTCAAATTCCTTAGCTTTCCTGATGATCCAAAATTAACCATGGTATGGATCCTTAGACAAGGCATTGGCCACCCACAATTCTGCTTCCAGCCAGAACACTCTTCAGCTCAGCATGGGGATCCACGTGGCAGATGAAGTTGAGCTAACCTCTGCCTTTCCCTTGATAGTGCAGACTGCATTTCCTGGCAATAGAGATTGCCTTCTCTCTAGAGGTGCAGCCATCCTGAAAATGTCAGTGAGAGATAGACACTCCTGCCCACTGACTCCTTTAAAATCTGAAGGCCAGAGTTTCTGGTAGAAAGATGTGTCCGGGTAGCAAACCATAAGCTGACCTGACCGAAGGCCAAGTGACTTAACAAGGCTACCAGGTTCACACAACATGGTCAATTCATCTTCCAAAGTTATTATGAAACCTTCCTGAAACTGGGCCTCAACACAGAGCCCCATTCCATGACAGCTCCTGGATGAGAAGACAGCATTCAGCTGCACATCAGCTAGTCATCCTCTCTTCTCTCTGCCTTTTTGTCTAAGGCAGTATGCAGCAGCATCAATCTTTTCTACTGTCACCTATCTAACAGGTCCCATGCAGTGTTCAAGAAACCCTGTGGGGCTGCCAGATTACACAGCTGAACTCCCCTTTAGGAAGATAAATAACCACACTTTCTGCCTCTTCTAAGAATCCTGGGAAGTTATTACACATTTTTAAATCTGAATAAAATTCAGGCAGTTCTTCCAGATTTCTTCACGGTTTGGGGATAGTTGGAGGACAGAAAGCCCTGGAGGAAATGACAATAGAGGCTCTAAAAGTTATTATTTTCCTGTGGAGTATGGCTTTATTCTGAGTGCCATATTCCCCAGGCACAGGAACTGGAATATGGCCACTAGACTCTTCATTCTACCATAGCAATAAGTATACTTCTGTAGTATTTTATTCCCTCTGGTAGGAGAGCAGGAGAGACCCAGCCAGTAGGTCAGCCAAGAGATACAGTGCCAGAGGTTTAATTCTCAGAACTGGAACCAAGACAGTCAAGATGATTTCCCTGATGTGGCCAGAAACAGGAAGAAACAGAGGTGGAATCAAGCCAAGTCCTCTGAGCATGCCAATGATCAAAACTGAGATTGAGTGAGAACCAGACTAGAAAATGAAAACAAAGCTGGCAGGTTGGAAGCTAGGCAGAACTGGAACAGAACAGGACACACATTAAAGGCTTGGAAGCAAAGTGAGGAGGCTCTAGGCAATTGCCACAAACAGAGCTAGAACATCTGCAGCTTGTTTTTCTCACCTGCCAGTCATGTGGAACACGGTTGGCTCGTACTAGTGAAGGAGGCCCAAGGCAAATACCCAGTTAGGAATATGAAATTAACCAGGTCACAAACAGCTTCTGCCATAGAGCAGATTGTTCCCATTGACATAGGCTGCTCTTCCCCACTCCAGGACCCTGGACTCAGCCCAGGTGCTTGGATTTTTAGGACCTGCCAGCTCCTGACTGTTTTAAACCTGACTTCTTTCCTGCCTAGTTTTTGGCATCTTTCAGGTTACTTATTTGAATTTTTGACCAGCTCCAATCCATTGCTACCTGTGTTTAAGTGTGACAGATCTCTCCCCAAACGTGGATTCACTTGGAAAAAATATTTACAACCAGAGGGTTTTTGGTATTGTAAATATAGTCAGTGTTCTCCAGGGATTTATTTTTTCCTAAGTGATGTTACCCATTTGTTTTAGGTGATTTGGGGATGTATCTATTTTAAAAATGAAGACTTGTTCTCCATCTTTCCTCTCAGATAAAACACCAGAAAACTGAAATACTTCAATTTGTTTTTATACCTAAAAATGGCATTACAACATCTCTCGCCTCCCTGTTAAGTCTCTGGCATAGTTTGTTAGGAAAACCCAAAATTAATAAACTCTTTTTCATATATTACATCTTAAATGAAATGCTTTTTTGCTGACATAAAAAGAGATGCCTTAATTTAATGGAGATGCTCACTCAAAATCATACTACAGGTTGTTACTTCAGGAGATGCTTCCTGTATTAGCTAATTTCATGTGATGTGTGGATTTTCACTAGCTGCTTCTTTGAGGATTATACTTTCTGATCTTGTCCCTAGTTTTGGGTTATGGCTACCTTATTTGGGGGGTTAAGTCATCTTTTACCTAGTTAAAATTACTAAAATTTAATTTCTATTTAGTCACTCATTTATTCAGTTCACATATACTGAGTCTATGCTATTGATTGATTCATGTATTCAATAAATAGATACTTATTGAGTGCCTGCTTCTACCAGTACTGTTCTAGGTATTGAAGATACAAAGTTAAATAAGATAGAGATCCTTCCCTCCCAGTGTTCACAGGTTAGTGGGGATGAGAGAGAAACCATTCCAGACAATGATGCTGCGTGGATAACAATGGGAGGTTATGGCACATATTGGAAGGGATGAAATTCAGTTGATTTGTGAACTATAAGTAGATATCAGTTGATTTAAAGGTAATAATGCAAAACGGACCTAACCCTATGAACCATGAGCTTAGACTCTTCTATCTTTGTATTTTCTTCATGGCTTCATTAAGTTTCAAGCCTGTAGATCAAACTAAGCTTAGGAAGTGTGTTTTGGGTATCCTTACTAAGAGTTACTTCCAGCATCAGGACTTTTCTGTAACCTCTGAAGATATCAATCTTGGATATTTCTAAGACTCTTCCAAGGGAACCATGTAGATTGTGCGACAACTTAAAATATTATAAATGGGCAATTGGCTTGTGCCTGGTTAAGACATGATTTTCTGCCCAAGGTGTTTGAGCTTGAGTTAATATATTACCCAACTTCATACTCACTAATACTTTTTCTTTGGATACAATTTAACTATTAATTTGTTTTCCAATAAGCCTAAAGTTTTACTGCATTTTGAATAATAATGCACATATTGATAAGAGTTTTTAGAGATTTACATTATAAAAGACATTTAAGAACAGCAATTGCACAAAATACAGTTTTCCAAAGTACTAGAAAATAAGTAACCAATAGCAACAGCCTAATACAAGTAAGATCTAGGATATGAGTGAGCTGGTCTTTAAATTAATTATAACCAATCATGAGAAATTATACTGAAAACTGTAATACTTTAAAAATATACTTTGGTAAATAAATAACTACACTCCAACTCTCTGGGTCGAGTCGCTGTTGTTGTAAAATTAAGAATGACTCTCCCTCTTTGAAGATATCTAAAAAATAAACTTGAGATGGTCATCACAGACATGAAATTAGAACTGAGGGTTCCTGGTATCTTATCCAGTGAAATATTCTTTATTATTTGTTGTCCAAAAAGAAGTTAAAACCAGATTGTGAAATTAATTTAGGTCACAACCAGTATTTATTAAACAATACAATAGGACAAAATAAATATAAAATACAATGCAATAAATAGAAAATAAAACATATCACAAGTAGTAATGATAAGTACTTCATAAATGTTATTGCATTTTATATATGCCTGTATAGAAATGCTAGGTCACAATATAGAATGCATTTTTTTATGGGGGGAGGAATCCTAGTCAAAGATGTTTGAAAGCTACTGTCTTAGAAGATGCAGTCCAAGTGGTAATTGTGCTACAAGAGAAGCCAGAGAGCTTTAGGAGTGCTTTACAGGGGTTCAGACCAATAAAAATGGACACATCTGATGAAACAGACTTCCTGGAAGTCTTGAATAGCTAAAGAAGTATCCATCATAATGAACATAAATTCAAATTATCCTGAAATTTTAGGATTGGTAATGGCTACAACTACTTCTGAGGTTGCTAGTACAAGTCTTAACTATATTTAAAGTATTACAGAGTGCTGGGACCAGGGAAAGTGGAGGCCAAGGAAAAAGCCAGCCAAGACCACCTGAGAGTGGTAGAACAAGGGACAGTTAACCATAGATCAAGGCAGATTGAATGTCTTGCCATGGTAGAGTTAGAGTGCATTGGCTGCCCTCTAAAAGGGGCATAGCCTCATTTTGTGGTGTTACTATCTATGGAACGTCTTGAAGTCAGTTTGTTAGCAGCTTCTGCCCTAAGTCCTTTGGCCACTGTAGCAAGATAATCTGTTGTTGGGTCTTATCAAATGTAGATAAAAACAAGATTGCATTTCGGGAAACCCAAGGAAACTAGCAGGTATCAAAACATTGTTAAGTGTTGTATCCCCCTAGAAGATCCTTTCTGTTTCTTAGAGGAAAAGGCACTTACCTTATCTTTCTAAATGTATCAGAAATTTAATTCTGAAATATTTAGAACTTACCAAATTGGGAACATCTGGGACATGTCAGGCCATGCAGATGTTGGGAAGTTCTAGTGATCCATGCAGACAAACACTGGATTATGTGTACCTTCAGACTGGTACCACTCCTCTCTCTACAAAAGCCACCTTTGAATGTCTCTATTAAGTATTACTGATGTAACTCTATTATTTGTTGAATGTTGTGTTAGGTGCTCTGAGATTTTATGGACTGATGAATATCTCCAAAGTCCCAGATTCTGTTTATTCAGATTGATCTAAGTAAACCAGCTCTCCCCACTTTTTGAAAGGGTGAAGGAGGAAGCTCCATTCCCAACTTGGATGTTTAGAGGTGGCAAGAAAGAGAGTGAGATACATGTGGTTTTTACAGGGGAAATTGGCAGCATCACCAGCATTCAATCACTTGGGCAATGTTACAATCAAGAAGGGAATCCAGTGGACACATGGGAGCTTAAGCTTGCCCTCGAAGTGTGCAACTCTGCCCACATTCAAGTATGTTTGTTTCCAATCAGATTCTGTTTGTAAATGCTCATGATTCTATTAGCTGTGATTCATAGCAAAGAGACCAAGGATACTAACACATTGGGCCATAGGAAACCAACAAGATATGAGAGACTGGAAGTAGCCAGAATCAGAAGTCTAGGTCACCATTGGGCTCCTACAACAGGATATAGGGAGGCATGTGAGGGCTTTGGATTTAGGCTAGATAGCAGAGTGGTAGGTCCATGTGATCTGTAAAGATGGGATCTGTAAAAAATGGTGGATACTATGACTCCAGGAATTTAGAATTCACGTTCTGGAAAGGTCAGTGTAGGTCAATTAATAAAAACAGTGCCAGTGGGACAGCCGCAGTGGCTCACACCTGTAATCTCAGCACTTTGGGAGGCCAAGGCAGATCATTTGAGGTCAGGAGTTTGAGACTAGCCTGGCCGACATGGTGAAACCCCATCTCTACTAAAAATACAAAAATTAGCCAGGCATGGTGTTATACGCCTGAAATCCCTTCTACTTGGGAGGCTGAGGCAGGATAATTGCTTGAACTAGAGAGATGGAGACTGCAGTGAGCCAAAATCACACCACTGCACTCCAGCCTGGGTAACAGAGTAAGACTCTTCTCAAAACAAGCAAAAAAGAAAAAGAAAAAAAAAGCAATGCTAGTGAACAGATTGTGTCTTTTGATCATGGGCGAGTCTATTTAGTCTCTGTTGTAATTTTATGTGTAGGAAGACAAAAATTCACAGGGAGAGTAAGACCTCCTACGTGTTGATGGATCCTGAATCTTATACCTTCTCAAAAATGCATACTGATGGTATTTATGCAGGTATTATGAAAGTATTATTATTAAAATCAAGACATCTTAATAATCATTTCCTATATGTTCAAGACAGTTTACATAAATCAAGGACTATACATCTGCACAGAAAGAGTATCTCATTTAAAGCAATTGTTTATACCATGTGACATTTACCTGGTTTTGCCCACTCTGGGCATCAGAGTCTGGGCCTATTAGTCAGATGTCGATTTATAACAATACCTGAAAGAGTAAATAATATATGTTTTATTATATAAATAATTTAATCATATCTACATAGATAACAAATATGTAAAGTACAGCTCTGATAAAAGTTTCTGATTCCTGGTCACTAGTGAACTAGTAAATCTCTTTAGCTCATTGCAGTTAAACTAATAATCATCATTCTAGTCTGCATGTTTTCTTTTTCAGTTCTTCTGATCTCCCTTTCACTCAACATGTTCTGATTTCATCCCCTTGGAGATGCTTACCTTGATTCAGCCTTATTTTTTGGTCTTTGCCAGGAACTTTGTAGGCTTTATTTGGCAGTGATTCTGCTGAATGTGTTTCACCATATCCTTTATCTGCTTATCTCCACAGGTCAGGCTTCAGTTCTTCTAACCTAAGCATTCTGTTCTCTTAACAGTGACATCCTATTCCATTGTGTTTGGCCACATTCCACAGCTAGCTTAGTGATGGGAGAGGGCTATTCGGATTCTTTGTGAGGAAGCAGCCCTTTCAGATTGGGGTACAGCTGGATGTGGTGCTCTTACTTGCCTCCAGCAGCTGCCTGAGGACTCCTAAACTGTTTATAGTCAGCAGTCACATAGGCTCCTCACACAAGCATTATTTCATTTAATCTTTACAACAATCTGGTGAGATTTATATTGTTATTATGCTGCAAAGATGATGGAATTAATGAGAGTACAAAGCAAGCAGGTAGCAGCGTTATGTAATAGAAACCCATCTTCTGATTTCAGCCTAAGACTGTTTCCTTTAAAAAGGGTTAACTGACTGCCCAGCTCAAAATCATTACAATATTGGAAACTTTCCACTTCAACTTGGCCTTGGGATTATCCCCTTTTTTATTGTAAAATTAAATAATTTCTACAGCTTCTGTTTTCTTATTTGGTTAATTTCTAATTGGCCACATTACATAAGATAATTATCATTGGTCTAATTAGAAGTATAAATAATTTCAATGAATGAAAGCAGAGACAGGTAATCAATTATAGTGCAATCAATAATTTTGCAAATCAATTTAGTGTTTGGCTAATTTTGAACAATGCAGATTATCATTATACACAGAGCTCCTAGAAAAACCAAAGGCAGTAAACTAAAACAAAATAATGTTTACAAATCCAGGATAGTATATATAGAAGTGGCAGGCAAATAAGATTATATTTATATACTAACTATACTAAAATTTGTGTATATACTTACATTACACCAATTTTAAAGAAAAAACTTATTATGAGTACTTTGGGCTTTTAAATTTTTGTTTCAATAAGCATTTTCTTATCTGCAGTGTTCTCATATCAGAAATTCTGGCACCAGAGCAGACAAGCCATTCATAGTGCTTACCAAATTTGGCAACTTGTATTCTGAGTGTGTTTTGTCAGATTATGGATATGAAAAGAATACTGATGAAAGAAAAGCAAGAACATAGGCATATATTTATTTATATATGACATATATAGAAATATTGTCAAAGGTGGCCTAAACAAACTTTTCTTACTTCAAGGTATTTAGAAAAAATAGCTTGACTTGTAGACTTCACTAAGGGCCACTTTGTCATGTTAATCAAGAGTTAAGGATTAAAAATATTATATGGACATTCATTTATAAGCCAAAAATGTGACTTGTTCATTACTTAATGATAGTGTAGTAAAGTAATATTTATAAACCATACATCATCTATTTGACTAAAATGGAAAAAATGTCATTCAAGTTAGTGATCAAATTTGGCCAATAATTTTTAAACTAGATTAGATCTTTTCAGAGAGGTCCCCTCCAAAAAATCATTAGGAAACTTGAGCATCATACTCAAGACAAAGATGCATACCTTCCTCAAAAAAAAAAAAAAAAAAAAAAAAAAAATCAAACTGACACTGTCTTTTGTTTTGGTTCCCTCTTTGGATTTCACAGGCACCTATGTTGATGAGGGAGCTCCTTTATTCCCCTAAATGGACATTGCTTATGTTATTCAAATGTCACTTGTAAAATAATCTATTCTTTCTCTGCTAATGTGAAGCATAAACTTTATTACATAGTAAATTTTTACGTATAATTAGATCTGTTTCTAGAATCTATATTTTTGTACACTGAATATTCTGTCCCTGCAACTCATTCTTTTCATTACCATATATATATATATATATATATATATATATATATATATATATATATTTTTTTTTTTTTTTTTTTTTTTTTTTTTGAGAGAGGGTTTCGCTCTTGTTACCCAGGCTGGAGTGCAATGGCGCGATCTCAGCTCACCGCAACCTCTGCTTCCTGGGTTCAGGCAATTCTCCTGCCTCAGCCTCCTGAGTAGCTGGGATTTCAGATACGCGCCACCATGCCTAGCTAATTTTTTGTATTTTTAGTAGAGATGGGATTTCACCATGTTGACCAGGATGGTCTCGATCTCTTGACCTCGTGATCCACCCGCCTCGGCCTCCCAAAGTGCTGGGATTACAGGTTTGAGCCACTGCACCCAGATTCATTACCATATTTTTAACAAGTGCTTTTATAACTTATAAGGCAACACTCCCATTACTTTCCTTTTTAAGTATTTTTAATGGATTCTTTTTTGCCCGTTATATTTATTATTTCACCTTAATTTTAAAATCATTTGTCATACCAATTTTGAGAAAGAACTAGGGAGAAATGACACTAGCACTTTTGTTGTCATTAAACATTAAGTTAGATTAATTTGGGGGAGAATTAAATGGTTTATAATTTTGAACCTTTTTACCTCACCCTTTACTCAAGTCATTTTTCTTAATAGTCAAGTTTTGAAGCTTTCTATATACAGACTATGCATTTTTTGTTTTTTCTAATGGCTTTGTCAGCTTTTGCAAGCAAAAACATTTTGCAAGCAAAAAATTGTAACCAAAAAAATTTGCAAGCAAAAAAGATTTGCAAGCAAAAAGATTGCAAACAAAATATTTGCAAGCAAAAAAAATTTGCAAGCAAAAAAGAAAAATGACTTGCTGAGTAAGCGGGAAAAGAAAACACTCAAAATATGGTGGGAGGCTCAAAGAATCAGTGGGTGGGCTCAAGAAGTAGGCTCAAGGTTAAACTTCCAGACCAGAACCATCATAGCAAAGTCTGACAAGAAAACTGTCACTGCCGCCACCACCACCCCAGAGCACTAGTAGCAGTTCAGGTTGCAGCTGCCACCTCTCCACCAGGAACTGCTCTTCAGCAGCCACCATTACTTCTAAGGACAGTGCTGTTTCTTTCTTTTTCTTATTTTGTTGAACTGGCTAGAACTTCTAAAATAATGTGACTCATAGTACTCATGATAAGCAACTTTTTCTTGTTCTTGCCTTTAGTGGAAAAACGTATAGTTCATTTTGGTTTGCCATTGTCCAGAGAGTGTTGGGAAAGTTATCTTCAATTCATAACTTACTAAGAGGTTGTTTTATTTTGTTGATTTACCTGTACTTTTAAAATCAGAAACAAATTTTGAGTTTTATCAGTTGTTTCTTGGTCAAAATGATCATATGCTTTTTTAAATTATTATTTTAACCTATTAATAAATATAGTACATAGGCTTTCTAGTATTTATTCATGAAATAATTGTTATTCAGCCAGAGTACATGTTCTGCAGTCTGACTGCCTGGGTTCCAATCTAGGTTTTGCCATTACTCTTTATTATGACCATGAAAAAATAACTTATTCTTTGCAATAGTCAGATTTTTCTTCTAAAAATCAGAAAGATAATAATAATACTTATGTAAGAGTTGTGTGAGAATCTTTTGAGATAATTCATGAAAACAGTATATGCCACATAGTATGCAGTCAGTGTCAATTAGTATCTTTACCTTTAATCTTCTATACTCTAGAAGACTTTTAAACATTTAAATTTCTGTTCAGTTAAGGAAAGAAAATTTTTCTGTAAACCATTAGTGCCTTCAAGTTTCATAGGTATAGTTCTCAGACTACTTTTTCGTTTCATTCATGGTTTTTGTCTTTCCAAAGATTTTATTTTAATCATTTGCACTTTCTTAGAGTATCATTTATTGCCATGCACTAATCCAAATTTATTATAGTATAGTTGTACCCAACACTTTCCCCCTCTTCCTACTTTTATTAAAATTATACCATGCAATATACTTCTATAACATACCCAACACTTTCCCCCTCTTCCTACTTTTATTGAAATTATACCATGCAATATACTTCTATAACAATCTGTAACAAATATTACAGAAGTATATTGCACAATGCTAGGTTTGGGGTATGACTGAACCTGCCACTCAGATAGTGAGCATAGTTCCAAATAGGTAGTTTTTTAGCCCTTGCCAATCTCCCCATCTCCTCCCTCCAGTAGTCTCAAGTGTTCCTTGTTCCCATCTTTATGTCAATGTGTACTCAGTATTTAGCTCCCACTTATAAGTAAGAACATGCAGTACTTGATTTTCTGCTTCTGCATGACTTTGCTTAAGATAATGGCCTCCAGCTGCATCCATATTGCTTCAAAGGACATGATACCATTCTTTTTTATGGCTGTGTACTATTCCATGGTGTATATATACCACATTTTCTTTATCCAATCCACTCTTGATGGGCACTTGGGTTGATTCCATGTTTTTTCTATTGTGAATAGTGCTGTGATGAACAGAGGGTACATGTGTCTGTTGTTACCTTTTTCCCTATTATGTTACAAAATTGATACTTGCTATTCTTTACCTTTGTGTCAAGTAGTAGCAAGTTCATCATCATGATTAATAAGGATAAGTTTTTGAATTTTATCATTAAAGAGTATATGGATAGTTTTACTGTCTAATATATTAATTTCCATTTTTATTTGTACAAGTTTTTTCTTCCTAGTTTGATTATTTAAAAATTACCTTTATTGCCTATTTTAATGTCTACTTTATTTTCCTATTTTATTTTATTTTTTTATTGATACATAATAAAAACATGTATTGATACATTTATAAAATATATAATAATCAAATCAGGGTAATTGGGATATCTGCCACATTAAACATTTATCTTTTCTGTACACTAGGAACATTTGACTGTTTTCTACTAGCTCTTTTGAAATATTCAATAGATTATTGTTTAACATAGTCACTCTACTGATTTATTGAACACTGTACCTAGATCAAGGCATTTTAGGCTAGGGGGTATTTTCCTATGTGTACAGTTGGATTCCACCCTATATTTTTAATAAATCTGTTTTTTAATGTTCTTTTCAGACTTTGTAGTCTCAATTTTCTCTTCCATACAAGAATTACTTTTAAAGAATGCTTTTAATTTTAAAATACTTATTTTTTTTCTATCTTCCTAAAACCGACTCCTAATTTTATTACATGGAAGTCAGAGAATGTGATCTGTACAGTGTTTTTTCTCTCCATCTAATCATTTGATCATTTCAGCAAGAAGCCTGAATAAAATGGGAGTTAAACACGGTAGACTTAGAGAATGCTATATTGAGCATAAAAAGTCTCTTTTATCTTTATTACTTTAAAATATTGTAAAATAAATTTAATACTTGCATAATATAGCAGATGAATGATTACTGTCTTTTATCTACTTACTGGTGGTAACATCA